CACTACAAACTACTAAGTGGCATCAAATTGAGCTCACGCCATCCATAGCCATTCTATGGCTATTCATGTGCCCAAATATAAAACATACCACGTATTGGACTACATTCACTGATCCAAAGGTTGATTTTATCTACCAAAGGTTGGTTTTATCTACCATTTAGTACGGGGGCAGAAGATTGATCTATCTATGCTCGTCTACAATCAGATACATGCACTTGGTACATGGGGAGATCGACGGCCAGTTGAGCCAGGACAAGCGGCTTATGATGCTTAGATGTCGCAGGCTCCGCCACCACCTGTTGATGTTGATACACAGTTATTGAGATAGATGTCTTCTACCATGATCAGCTCTAGTCACGACATTTAAAGCCTTCAGTAAACATTCAGGGCCATGAGTACAGATATACATCAGGTGTGGGATGACATGCTAACCATCCGAAATTTTGTATCAAATGCTAGTTGACAGTCTATGGCGGTGAGAAGAGAGATAGATACCATAAACCGGAGGTTGGGCATGTATGTGGGCCAAGTGGACGGGATATAGCTGAGAGCTAATGAGACATGAGATCGTCTGGGTAGCATTGAGACAGAAATTAAATAGCAGTCTACTATGATTCAAGGTCTCCAGACCGAGCTATCCCAGCAATCTGAGTTGATGAGGCAAATTTCGGCACGACTACCTCTACTAAGAGGAGAAGACACCGCATGCCTAGTTTTCCAACACTACATCCATATTGATCAAGGGAGTGTCTATTATCCCACTTTTTAGCATTTATTTTATTTCTATCCTCAATTATGCTTGTTCCTAACTTTTACAGTATTTTAACATTCAGTTTGGGGTGGCATAATTTCTTACATTTTGGTATAATCTTTCATTGTACCGTTATTATTCATCAATAATTTGTTTAATTTACTGCATTTTGTGTGACCGAGTGTAGAAAAAGTATTTGTATGTTCTGCCTATTTTGTTTATGATTTTGTGTTCTTGTATGGATTTGATAGCCTTGTAGACAATGATGTGAATATTGGAATAGATATGTGCTAGGAACTGTGGATATGGTGCATGATTTGATTAACTCATACTTATTGATGTCAAACTTGACATTCTTTGTGCACGACACTCATGCTCTACAGGTTAAGTTAGTGATTGGATTCTTGAGCAGAGTAGGATAAACCCAATAAACTTCTATTGTGTTAACCTATAATCCATTTTTAGAGTAGTTTGGTGATGGTTGAGCAATTACAAGAGAACATTGAGATAAGTGGAGTTTCGTGCATGAAATTATACTGTATGGATTTGCCTATGACCAATGAGATGAAGATTAGGTAAAAGTCTTAAGTTGAGGGTTAGTTTTAGAGATTGAATGTCTGAAAAAGGGCGATAATATTAATCTATGTAAAAATAATACCTCTCTCAAAGCCTTCTTGACTTGAGCAAGTAAGCCTGTAAGGGTATTTTGAAACCTGGTATCCTAAAGTCAACTGGTTTGGGAGTCATCGGCCTAAAACTCACTACAAGAATCATGTAGAAAACCAAAAAGGAAAGAAGTTAATAAAAAGTCATCTTATCAAGCCTTTATAACTCAAGTGAATAAGTTAGCAAGGGTTTGAAATCTGGTGCCCTAAAATCAATTGGTTTGGGAGTCATGGGCGTAAAGCTCGCTACAGAGGTTATATGGAAAGCAAATGAGAAGATGGCAATAAAAAAAATAATAATAATTTTGAGCAAAGACACAATGGTAGTAAGTAAACCCGTAGACATTTGGTTAATAGAACTATACTTTTGATGCTAGACAAGTAGATTAGTTTAGTCTTAAAGGTTGAAGCAATGAAAAATAGGAGAGCCCCTACTTGTTGAAATATGAACTTGTGATAGTGAGATCTATCCAAACTAAGAGAAGGTAAGGGTTAAAGTTATTTAAACTCCTAACTTTAGAAAACACAGCGGGATAATTGACTGAAAAGAATAAGTTGGGAGGGCGTATATCTCAGAGCAAAGAAAGGATATGTATAACAATTACGGGCACGAGAGTAAACCTATCAAGAGCTTGATATGTTAACATGAGTTTACACACACATCGAGTTATGCATTTACAATTAAACGTTGATTTTATTTTTACATTGTGGAAACTATTTGTTAAGTTGATTACTGAATTCCAATCCTGAGACACGACAGGTTGTCAAGTCATGTTTTGTGTAGAGTTAAGTCACTATTTTGTTTGAGGACAAATAATAATTCAAGTTTGGGTGTTTGATAAGTGCATTTTTACATACTTATTTTGTAACAAAACATGACGAACTATTGATAAAAATGTTTGAATATGATTTCGTTTTTTAGGGCTATATTGATGGATATGGTTGAATTCAAGAAGAAGAAAAAAGAAAAAGGGCTAAAATGGAAGAAAATGAAAGTTTAGGGACCAAATGTAAATTAGCCAAAAGATGAATCAAAGGCATAAAAGAAGATGTTGAATGATGAAGGACGAATTTGTTGAGACTTGGAGTGTTGGGAAAAGAAAAGGAGAAAAGAGGTCAAAAGGCAAGAATTTGAAGTTCAGGGATCAAAATGCCACTTTTGGAAGAAAATTTATACCATCCGGTCACATGGTATAAACCACCATGAGGTCACATGGTGGTAATCAGATAAAAATCGGGGGCAATCATGCATAACCATGCGGTCGCATGGTACAAATGCGTCGTAAGATTTTCAGTTTCCTTTTTTTGTTTCAAACTCTTATGGAAAGAAGTTGTGGGACAGATATAAAAACCCTAGAGCCATCAAATTGAAGGGAAAATGCATTGAGAACATAGAGAATTGAGAAACATCAAGATCGATGGGATCACGCAAAGATTTAACTAGAATATTAACCCGGTGATGTCATATCTTCAATTTTCTTTAGGTTTTATTTTTCCCCCATGTTAGGCTAGATTAATCTGTACTAGGAGAACGATGAACCATGTGATGTAATCTTTGATTTCTAGTTTTACATTATTGACATTAAAACACATTACATGACTTTAAAAGGTTTATATATAATGATTTTCTTCCATAATTATGTGCACATGATTGTATGAGTTTGGTGGCTTATTTCATACATTCAAGAGAAGGAAATAGGCTCGACTAGGTATAAATAGTCATAGGGTCTGATATGGGATAGAGATATACCACTATGCCCTGCGTAAATCTCTAATAATTTACAAAAATCCATGCATTCTTGTATATTCATATCCTTCATAGAGATATAGTCGGATCGTATATGGGAGTAGGTTCAAGATTACTCGAGAAAAATTATTGGATAAAATTGGAATATTGATTCTTCAATCTTCAGTGTGGTCAATTTGTAGAACTAAGACTAAAAGAGATCGTTGCAGGGGGATTCGCAATCCTACTGCATTTCACATTCATTAATTTCATCGATTTTGCATTCAATTATCATTTTGCATTCAATTTCATTTAATTCATTTACAATTGTGTAAATAGTCTAGTTTAGGTATAATCAATTTACAACTATCACGTTTAACTAATTGGTTTTGGTTAAGGTCAAAATAGGTAAATTTAGGTTAACTCAATCTCCGTGGGACGACATTCGGAACTCTTCATTCTACTTTATTACTTTTACGAATCGTACACTTGCTGTGTTAAACTCGAAATAATATTTTCGTGAACAATTCACTTAGCAAAGAATCGCATTTATCATGCAAGGACAAAGCATATGCAGGTCTATTACTATCTTACGGGAATGACTTTGGAGGATGGAATCTTAACACTTGAGAAGATTCAATGGAGTCAGAATTCTACTGAATTAGTCTCCAAGTAGGTAAGGATTGTTTAGAAATTTGTATTCTTTTAAAATTCTATTAATAAACTAGAACTACTTGTAAAATCTGATTTTGCCCTAACTTATCTTATAAATAGGGAGACACCCTTAGACTTTATGATTACCATCAAAAACAGAGAAAGAGATGTTTGAGAAAATAGGTTTTCAATTTTCTCTTATAATCATTTTTTTCTAAAAATAGTGATATTGCAATAGTGGGAGAGGACGTAATATCACATTGAAGTAAATCCCTACAAATTTTATATGTTCTTAAATGTTTATTTTTCTTTCTACAAATTGATTGCTCTCAATAGAATAAAATTAAGGTTTATAATTTTCGAAAGTTAATATAGGAAAACATCCTGTCTACTAAAAGATGACGTTGCATCTCGTGAATGGGACAACTATAGTTGGAGTTCATGAGTTGGAGATGGCTGGTTCTCGGGAAATTGTAATGAATGCAGTTGTTGCAGGCAGCAAGCACAGCCGAGAACTTTCTAACGGCTAGTTTTGTCATATTTAGCCCCCGTTTGAGCCACATTATTGTAAAAATGAGAATGAAAAATACAGTCGTTATGAACTCCACATAAGAGATAAAAAGTCAAATATGGTAGCTTGATATGATGGATAACAGTCATATTTTTCATTTTAATGAGGAAATAATGAGACTCAAACAGGACCTTAATGTATTAGATTAGAATTGTGGCAGGTCCCGGTAAACAATACTCTTTTCCAATCTTATTTCCCTTAGCCCTTGAACTATTGGTTTTTTGTTTCATAAGATGTTGATGTTTCTATCAACCCATCTTGAACAAGCGATATTAAGTATTGTGAACGGTTAAAATATCATAATCAACAACTTTTCCTTCTCTTACTTTTTTTTCTGAAAACGATGGTGCTGTAAATGATATCCTCAAGGCATGGCAGTGAAGCTAACAACTTAAGGGCATAGTTTGTATCCAGATTACAAACATTCAAAATATGAACTCAAGAACTTACAACCATTGTTTTCCATCTATGTCATTCAAAAACATTTGTTATAACACTACTCTGATAGATTTGAATTATAATAATAAAAACATATATTAATATAATGAATTCAAATGCATTAAACCTCTCTCGTTTGGAATAGTCGAAAAACATGGCAACTAAAACTTGAAGAAAGGAATCTGACACACACCTTTACTTGAGATTCATTGTGTAATAGGTCTGAAGAAAAGTCAAGAATAGAAGAGAAGTGGCAGCAAGTAAGGCAATAAATGTCCATGGATTGCGAAAATAATTATGAATTAGTTCAGCAATCCATGTTTTTGCCTTGCTGCTGCAGTGCTCCTCAATTCCCATCTTCACATCCTCAAAAATACTGTCAACCACAAGTCCACAAGTATCAATTTCTTTGATTACTTCCACAACTTTTTCATCGCTGTCAAGGGCGCTGAAGAATATCTTATTTTCTCTCAGTTCCTTCACATCTTCAGGTTTAACAATGAGCGATTTCAAGAAATTAACGTAACATGTTATAGGAATGCCAGTGTCGCTTTCTGGAGACGCTTCATATGCAATCATGTGTGTAAAGAATAGCTTGGAATGGGTATTGAATAGAAGAACCGGGAGTTGAAGCTGCCCATAAAATGGGTAGGATTTGAACTTGATATTCTTCAAACAATATGAACTAGGTTTGAAGTGGATGCCTTTTGCTTTGAGATCAGTGACTGAACGAGATTGACGATCGTATTTCACAAATTCATTCGGATTTTCTTTCCTCCACAGCTGCCGTTGAACTTTATTAACAGACTGGACAAGGTTTTTTCCTGCATTATCCAATTCTTCGACAAGTAGTCTATGAAAAGCGTCCAGAAGGTGAAGTGGTTGCCTTTTATCTTCTCGAATTCTTGTTATCCTGCTATCCGCAAAAACAAGGAAACTTGAGAATTTACAAAGTAACATAGATCCTTCTCCATTTATTAATTTAATCAAGAGCTTAATAACCCAGAGTGGAATTTGATTCTCCAGTAAATACATATCGACGAATGCAAATGTTATTACAGACATTCCAAGATGTTGACAGAAGTGGATAGTTTTTTCTTCATCTCCCAAGGCAATCTTCATAAGATATACTGCGAAACATGCATCTAGAAGCATCATTTCTGTCAGTGCTCCGTCATCATATGCATCTCTCGAAACTCCAACATAACAATTTCTAATCTGGTCGATAACTTTAAAGATCTGGCAGTAGAAGAATTGTTTGCCTTTGCCGCTGCTAGAAACAAAGATTTTAAGGACTTTATGCTTGAATTCTTCTGCCATACCAAGTTCTTGCAAGCCATGGTAATAAGGGCCAAAGGAAACCATCTTAGGTGTGTAGTAATCCTCTTTGCTGTGTTTATTGAATCGCACAAGTTGGGGCACTTTATGTATTCGGCGACCATCGAAATACTGACGATGATCTTCATCTTCATCTTCTGTAATTGGAATTTTATATTCGATATCTCTGTTGTTATTTGCTGAAGGGTCTTGGTCATCCATTACTTTCAAAAATTGAAATTTCCCATTTCTGAATGCTAGATTTATCACGGTTGATGGAATGGCCGATTAGAAACTGCACAGCTGTTTCCACTCTCTCAATAAGTCAAGTCCTGTGCTACCAGACAAATATTACACCTTTTCCAAAAAATAAATTACAACTTTTTCAATGATGCTCTTAATAATTGCAGTAGTTTCTATTTACTAACCCTTGAAACCAAAATCAGGAAATTTCATTAAATGTCCATTTTTACCTAGTCATTTGTAAAAATATCCATTATTACAAACCATTACAAAAATGTCCAATTTGAAGAAATTTAGACTAAAATACCCTTATTAACAATTTTTAATTCCACACTAAGACAAAAAAATGGACATTTTTGCAAAATTGTTATTGACGACTAAAATTTTAAAACATAACCTCTCATATTTATTTCAAAAGTATACATGTTAAATCACAATAAATGCTATATTTTTCGTTGACTCAGAAATGTCGAGAACGACATTTTCAAGTGTAGAGAAATGTCATGTTCAAAATAAAATGTCATTCTAGACAAATGAAACGATGTTCAAATGTCGAGAATGACATATGTAATATCGAGAATGTCTCCGTGACACGGAGGCACTTGCCTCCGTATCACGGAGACGTGATTTTTTCATTTTTTTTAATGAAACGGTATTTAAATGTCGAGAATGACATATGTAATGTCGAGAATGTCTCCGTGGCATGAAGGCAAATGTCGAGAATGTCTCCGTGACACGGAGATGTGATTTTTTTGTTTTTTTTAAATGAAACAGTGTTCAAATATCGAGAATGATATATGTAATGTCGAGAATGTCTCCATGACACGGAGGCAAATGTCGAGAATGTCTCCGTGCCTCCGGAGACGTGATTTTTTTGTTTTTTTTTTTTTTTAAAGTATCATATTTTTTGTTTTCACGTTATTTTTTTAAAGTATTATATTTTCTTTCTTTTTTTTTTTTTTGTAGTCCGAATTTATTTTAATGTAACTTATCATGAAGCTACTTCTCAAAATTCGTGACAAATTGATAAAAAAAATCAAATGTCGAGAATATCATTTCAAAATGTAGCTTTTCATTAAGGGTATAATAGACAAATTGACACTAAATTCAAATGAGTGAACATTTTTCAACTCATACTCTTAAAATTGGATATTCTTGAAAATGCCTCTACCAAAATTTATCGTGGTCGTCAAACCATTTTTTTTTTAATCTTGATCACTTAATGGCCTGTCTGGATCGACTAATTAGTGGAAAATGGGCCTTTGAAATACATAATTTCTGTAGCATTTCTGGCACTTGTCAGACATAAAAATAGGGATTTTTTCTCCAAATTTCACAATTGCTCTCCTCATTTACAGCCACACGTTATCCAAAGACTTTGAGCTACCGACATATGTAGGGGCAAAATCGTTAAATAGCCTAACATATGTTCTGACGAGTTGGCAGCTCTTGCCCTCATTTTTAATTGATAACGGTCCGTTTTCTCCTAATTAATCCGTCCAGTCAGGCGCTAAATCTCGTTTTTGTTTCAACGTCATCACTCTTCAGTCCAACCATCTAGAAAAACTGATATTGTCAAACGTAAAAAATTCGAAGTCAATTATGTCAAGCTTAATTAAAATATAAAAGGAAAGAAAAATAGAAGAAAAACGAAAGTTGACAAGTCAAGCGGAGCATCGTTCAGTATTAATCCCATTTCCCATATATAAATCCATTTACAAACTAATTGCATACACATTATTCGATTGTGTAGTAAGGGTTTTCCACTATTAAACTTTAATTTCTCAATTTAATTTCGAAATGTAAATAAAAAGTTACTCAAAAGTTAAGTTAACATCTAGTTTTTTAATTATTAGTTTAAATTTAATTTTATCAAAGGAAAACTATTGGATTAAGCATAAGAAGCTATGAAAATAATTGTAAAACTAAACATTATACACCATATCTTAGGCAGTAATGAAGATCGGGACAAAGTTCAAACCTAGTTGATTCCACATATCTATGAGAGGAAAATTTTAAATATTTTCAAATTTGGGTAAATTACTTATACTATTACATTACCTGTGATTACGTCATTTGTAAAATAACATGTGTTGTAGAAGCTCTCTCAAATGATCCTCAAATTGGTGATTTTTGGACTCAGTCTAACGTACCTTTCTCAACCAACAATCAATCCAATCGGCTTCAAACTACAACCAATTTAATTAATCTCGGTTGCCATTCAATTTTATCCACGTAGGACAAGAAAATATGATGATTTGTGGCTACGAAGGCTAGGAGAATACACCACAAAGGTATACTATGAAGGAACCACCAATTGCACACGGTAAACAAGTGTTTTGGACACTTCTAAAGGCTATTTTTCACACACCAAAGGGGGCAGCTGGGATTCCACTTTTTCTCACACAAAATTTCACAAAACATCACAAGAAAGTGGTTAAGGTTATAGCCATATATATACTTTAGGGTTAGGCTTTAAGTTGGACCATTAAAGAGGTAAATGGACCAAGATTCAAGCCATCTAAGAGGAAATACAATTGGGTCGGGTGTAGCTCATTGACTTGGTTGTTGGACTTATTTCATTCGTTGATCTATGCCTATGAAATAATATTAACCCACGTCAACATCAAAACCCGAGATTTATTGGGTATCAGAAACCCAACAAATCTCCACCTTGATACCCAGTAAATCTGCAAGCAATCAAAACACACAATTAGCACTTGCATAATCAAGGTAGCTAATAAAATTGGATCACAGACCTTATCTCGTGTTTTCAACCTGAAACACATACCATACCTGCTCCATATACTCACCAGGGCTAAGGTCAAAAATATCCAAGTAGAAGCAAATATTTAACAGTATACAATTAAGAGCAAATACACATGCAATGACGATATACTATAGGATAACATACATAAATCTTTTTAGAAACACATTCACATAGAAGCATAAATTAACACCAAGTCAATGAAACCATGGTCAACTACATATGCAACACATGCATAAATGACCCTACGAAAAGATCTCACCACACTTATCATATCTCATTCCGTGTTACTCACACCTAGAGAACACATATCTCCTCTTATTGCCCACCAAGCTTACTAGACTGATCACCCAACTCATGTCTAACTGGTAGGTCACAGTAGATCCTACCTAAGTCCACGGGATAATCCTCTATCTCCACATCACTTCTCCTAACCTACATCGATAATGGGTCCCCACCTAACAGAAATGATCTCTTTCACACTCCACCTGATCAAGGTCTCTTTACAGATAAAGGATTCTAGACATTTGATCACATCTCCACTCATGATCCAAATGTCACACTCCACATCCCCGGTACAAACCACAATGTACCCCTCGGCATCTACACTCCATCTTACCAAAAGATACACTACACACTGCTAGTACATCCTTACCCACTATGCATGCAAGCAATTACACCAAGTAATCCTATTGTCTCAAATTTATGCAAATGCACATATCAAATACATTGAAATGTAATAGATAATCATGCAAAAAAATTTAGACAATCGTACACATGTAGAAAGGATCACACATAGATGTATATGCAGTAACTAGATTTACTCTCAATAAATCTCACTAGGGTCATAACTCGACCCCTCAACCACATTCATCTCACCTCTCACATTACCCTTCTGCTTATCCTTCTTCTTGGGACAGTCCCTAATAAAGTGTCCAGACTTACCACAGTTGTAACACCGTTTACCACTAGACTTATCTCGTCACTTGCCATTCTTCTTACTACCCTCACCACTCGAGTCACTACTCGAATCACTACCTTCTTGAGTTCTACCTAAATTCATTTGCTTAAATTTCATCTTACTCCTCATTATATGTAACTCGCCACTCCTCTTATCCTTTTTTTCAGCCTTAATCTCCATCTCCTTACTTCTAAGCGAGTCTATGAAAATCTTGGGTGTTAAGGTGTCCCTACCATACTTAATTGCATTCTTAACTTCCCTATATGAATCAAGCATGGAATTAAGAAAGATAATAGCCTTATACATTTCAGATACCTTTTCATCACAATTAACGATGTGTTGAACTAACTTGTTAAAGATATTCAAATTGTCATCAAGATCCTTTGAAGGATCCATTTTAAAACTGAAATTTTTTTTCAAGCAAGTACAGTTTATTAGGAGTAGACTTAAACAAATATAAGTCCTCCAACTTTTCTCAAAGTTATTTAGTTGAATCAAGCTTTCCAGCTTTTCTTAAAACGGTGTTAGACAGGTGTAAAATAATTGAAGTGTATACAAGTTCATCATACTCTTATTTTTGTGCTTCTGTTAAATTTGTAGAAAATTTGCCATCTATGACTTTTGAAACTTTTGTTGGACCAAAATACCCTTCATCTTTTGTTGTCAAATAAAAAAATTTCCTTTCCCATTAAAAATTCCAATTTCAAAGTGTGAAGACATTTTAAAGAAAAATAGAACAATCAAAAACATAGATAGGTCAAACAAAGTTATCATACGGCTGCAATATAGACCGTTCTAGATTTCCAAGGTCTTGTAAGATTCACAATCTTAAATCAAGAGAATATTCGAACAGGTCAAGTCCAGGTGTTCTAGTGGGATAATTAATGCAAACACAAAGGAATATTAGCAAAAAATTCAAATTTTCACTCAATACAGTAAATTAAATACAGAAGCAGTTATTAACTTGCAATTAAATCCAATAATTCAAATAGGGCAAATAATTCTTAAATTTTCTAGCACAAGCAATGGTTGCCAAGCAATGACAACCCCCAATCCTAATGATCACCCTGCATGATGATCTGCTAGTACGATAATGTAAAAGTTTCAGCCAATTTATCAGAGCAGACCAATCTAAGTCTGTAAATTATGAGATACGCGAATTTAACACTTTAGGACCACCACTAATTGTCCAAAAGTCTCTGGAAACTACAGCAACCAAGAAATCACAATCGAAGTCTGAACGTCTGAAGA